CAGGACCCCGACTCCATGCCACATCGATCTAGCATGTAACACCTCATATCACTTTGCGGCCTCACGCACGGTATTCCCACGGGTGTCGCCTTACCTTTGCCCGGGACCGTTTGCGCCTTTTGGCACACGTATATGACAGTGTCGCTAGCATCCATATGATAAGGAGCCCGGGCTGACATGGCTAGTCGTAAACCCAAAGTGGCACAAACTTACAGGGACAGGCATCCATGACCCAGCATCGAACGTGTCGGTCATCAGCGAGTGAATCCAAGCTGTAGCACTGGGCTAGCAGGACTCCGGTGAACCGGGCTGTAGCGGGCTAACAGGACTCCGGTATTCATCGCGTGACATTTCCCCGAAGGGACAGACATAGGAATGAAGAAGGACACATGCCGGCCAGCCTAAGTGTTCCGGAGCAGTAGCAAGCTACCATGGCTCGGTGGAAACACTAGGAGACATTTCCCGGTAAGAGAGGCTACTAAAGATAAACAACTAGATAGTCAGATCCCACACATACCAAGCATTTCAATAACATACACACAATATGCTCGATATGTGCAATACAACATGGCATCACAAAATGACTCTACGACTCAAGTATTTATCAATAGGCTCCGAGGAGCGAGATATTACAAACATGGGTCTCATGACCCAACACTCAGAGCATACAAGTCAAAGCACAAGCGGAAGCTATCATGTCTGGGTACAGACATCTATAAAGGAAAAAGGCTGAGAAGCCTGACTATCTACCAGATCCTGCCGAGGGCACAAGATCGTAGCTGGGGTAACAAGCTAAACGTCGAAGTCCACGCGAAACTACTAGTGAGACCGAAGTCTCTCTGCAAAAACATAAAATAGGCAAACGTGAGTACAAATGTACCCAGCAAGACTTACATCAGAACTATCTACATATGCATCATTATCAACAAAGGGATGGTGTGGTTTAACTGCAGCAAGCCAGCTTTGACTCGGTGGCTATCCTGAACTACGACTGCAAGTAACTCTTTTGAGGTGGCGCACACGAGTCCACATATTCACCATATCAATACACCACTATGGATCCGCTCCCGTCTCCCTACGAGAACGCCATCCATAGCACTCACGCTTATCTTGCGTATTTTAGAGTATCCACTTTCACTTGTTTATGAACTGATATAAGCAACCCAGAAGTCCTTTTCCGCGGACACGGCTATTCGAATAGATTAGGTTAACCCTGCAGGGGTGTACTTCTTCACACACGCTCTCACCACTTACCGCCGTTTACACGACATGTACTCGGCAACCTTCAAGCGGAAGCCCAACGTGGGTGTCGGCCACGGCCTACCTAAACACTCAAGTCTCTAGTCCAGGTTTATCGCCTATTCGGGTTCCATCCATGAGGAGATCCGGCCGGAGTTTCGCTCACAGCCCCAAACGATGTGAACAGGGTTCCCGAGACACCAAACGGGCGCCCGGTACACCGTGCCACGTGCCTACCGCATCACAGCCCACCCCTACGGTCAGCACTGCGCACGGCCTCCAGCATACTACAAACACCAGAAACTACTTGCAACTCCTGGACAGAGGACATGGGTGATCAAGAAGCCAAGAGGGTCCATTGGTTTCGGGCCCAATGCGTGGTAGTAGCTGAATCATGGATCACAAACACAGAACTCAGTTCCTGAGGACGGCTGCAATGAGACAACCCACCATGTACTCCTACATGGCCTCTCACCGCTACCTTTACCAAATCGTGTTCACACACTTAGCTCACACACAGTAGGACATGTTCACACGCCTCTGATTCATCCCGGATGAATCAGACCTGACTCAACTCTAAGCAGTAGCAGGCATGACAATCAAGCATGAATGAGTAGGCACATCAGGGCTCAAACAACTCCTACTCATACTAGTGGGTTTCATCTATTTACTGTGGCAATGACAGGTCATGCAGAGGATAAAAGGGTTCAGCTACCGCAGCAGGTAACAGTTGAATCGTTGTTGTCCTAATGCAGTAATAGAGAGCAGGAGCGAGAGAGTAGGATTGTATTGGAATGAACAAGGGGGTTTTGCTTGCCTGGCACTTCTGAAGATAACATTGAGTCTTCATCAGTGTCAACGATCACATCATCGGTATCACGTCTATCGAAAGGGGGCAATCACCGGCAACTGAGGAAAGACACAATCAATGCAATGCACAATATGATGCATGCTCATGACATGGCAATATGAATGTGTTTTTAGCTAATGCAACTAGCAACAGATTAAATGAAGTTGGTTTGAATATAATATTCAAATTCAAACTCCATATGTGATTATTCAAATGCCATTTAATTGATTTGTGCTAAACAGCAGCTATAAGTTGTTCTAACATGCATGAAAATGGTACAGATGGATTCCTTGAATTTTTCTGATAATTTTTCATATATAAATTATTTAATTTGGAGCTACGGTTGAATTTCTATGAATTTTAGAAGTTTTAGGCATTTTCTGGAATTTCCTGATTATTATAAAATAAACTAAATTCCAGAAAAGGAATATTGCGTCAGCATGACGTCATTCTGACCTCAGCAGAGTCAACAGGGGCTGGTCCGGGTCAAACTGACCAGTGGGGTCCACTGGTCAGTGACACAACTAATTAACCAAGTTAATTAGCCTTAAGTTAATTCTAACTAAACTGTTTGTGGGGCCGGGGCCCACTGGTCAGCGACTAATCAGCTAACTAACCTAGGTTAATTAGTGTTAAACTAATACTAACTAAAATGTCAGGGGGGCGGCCCACACGTCAGTGACACACGAGGAAGGTCAAACCTGGGTCAACTCGCCGGAGTTGACCCGCGGCTCGTCGCCGGCGGAGCCAGAGACGGCGGAGGGGTGCGGTTTCCCTCCTCCGGCGACCAAATGGCCGGCGGAGGGCGTCTACGTGACGCAGGCACTCGTCCGCGTCGAGTAGTGGCAGCGGCTGGGCCTAAGATGGCCGGAGTCGTCACCGGCATCGACCGTGGCGGTCGCCGGAGCTCGGGCGAGCTCGGGGTCGACGCTACGGTGGCCGGGGAGGCTCGTGCGAGGCACCTACGTGCTCTAGGCAGCGCGGGGAGGAAGCTGAGCACGACAGCCGGGCCACTAGGTGGCCGGAGGCACGTCGGCGGCGATCACAGGCGGCGGCGGGTTTCGGTCATCAAGGGGGCGACGGCTACGGCAATCAAACGAAGACGGAAAGAGGGGGGAAACGGTGGCGGAGCTCACAGGGGTTGCGACGGTGGCCTCGGGGAGCTCGGGGAGGCGTCGGAGGCGGCGAATCGACAACGGCGGTCCTCGGTGGCCGAGGAGGGGGAAAACGTCGGGACGGCGCTTCAGGGCTTCTCCGGTCGCGTGAGCCGACGGGGAGGTCGAGGGAGGCACTGCGGAGCTCAGGAGCGCGTCGGGGAGGAGAAGGGGTGGCGGTGGCCGCGAGGAAGCTTGTCGGTGGCGGCGGCTCCGTTCGGTCCGGGCGAGAGAGAGGGAACAGAGGAGAGATGGGGACGAGGGAGTGAGCGGGAGGGTTCCAGGGGTCGAGGCGGCGCCGAGGAGAAGGCGCGAGGCGTCGTGGTGGCCTCAGGCGAAGCAGACGAGCAGGGTGGTGGCGTGGCGAGCTCGGGCGCGTGCGCCGAGTCCCTCCTCTGCCTACTGGCGCGAGGAGGAAGGTGACAGGGAGGAGGAGGTGGGCTGGGCCGCACAGTGCTGGACCAGCACAGGAGCTGGGCCGGCTCTGGTGGGCTGCACGGGTAAGGCCAGGTAGGCTTTCTGCTCTGTTTTATTTAATTCTGTTCTGTTTTTTTCTTTTATTTAATTCTTTTGCCACTGTTTTGAATTAAAAATAATTCAAACAATGCCAAAAACTCCTCTGAATATTTTATATTGCTAGATGGATTTTTCCAAAAGCTTATAAAATATTTCAGGGGTATTTGAAATTATATTCTAATTATATGAATATAATTCAAATTCAAATAGCTAATGAATTAAATCCAAAGTCCCAAAAATAATTCCTTAAAAATGTTCAATATTTTGGTTGGGACCAGAACCCTTACCAAAAATTATCAAACATTTAAGAAGAGCATTTTGGAGCAATGAATGAGATTTCTAGGGTTTTTGCCCCTCTTTTATTTAAGTTTTTGAGGCTTCCAAAATTCCTCAGTTCAAGTTTCAGAAATATAGACATGATGCAAACATGGAAGCAATCACAGAACAGGCCAGAGCTAAGGATGTGACAAGTAGTGCCCAAGTACCCCGTGCCTATCATCGAAGAACTCTTGGACGAGCTTCATGGCGCAAAATGGTTCTCCAAACTAGATCTCTGTGCGGGCTACCATCAAATTCGCCTGGCACCAGGGGAGGAGTACAAGACTGCGTTCCAGACGCACCAAGGACACTTTGAGTTCACAGTCGTGTCGTTCGGGCTCGCAGGTGTACCAGCCACCTTTTTGGGAGCAGTGACCACTACACTCAAGCCAGTTAACCGCGTCTATGTGGTATCTTTCTTTGACGACATCCTGGTTTTCAGCTTCTCTTTAGAGGAACACGCTGAACATCTGCGCCAAGTGTTGGCGCTCTTGAGAAAAGATTGCTGGAAAGCCAAAATGAGCAAGTGTGTCTTCGGTCAATGGAAAATCTCATACCTGGGGCACACCATCGGTGCACAAGGCGTGTCCACCGATCCATCCAAAATTGCAGCCGTGAAGGATTGGCAAGCACCAACTGATGTCAAAGGGGTCCACAGTTTCTTGGGACTCGCAGGCTACTATCGGCACTTCATCAGAAACTTTGGTGTCATTGCGCGACCCTTGTTCAATCTACTCAAGAAGGGAGTACCTTTCCAATGGACATCCACCACAGAAACATCATTCCAAGTTCTGAAGCAGCAGCTTGTCTCAGCACCTATCTTGGCATTACCAGATTTCAAGCAGCCCTTCGTCATTGAGACTGATCCTAGCGACCGTGGCATGGGGGAAATTTTGCAATAGCAAGGGCACCCTATAGCGTTCATGAGCAAGGCGCTCAGCCCACGATACCAAGGCCTTTCAACCTATGAGAAAGAATACCTCGCTATAGTTGTCGCGGTGGATCAATGGCGCCCCTACCTCCAACATGCTGAATTCATCATTCTCACTGATCAGAAGAGCTTGATTCACCTGGAGGAACAGAGGCTGACCACTCCATGGCAGCAGAAGGCTTTTACCAAGCTCCTCGGCCTCCGTTACTGAATAAGATACAAGAAAGGCATCGAGAACGTAGGGGCAGATGCTCTGTCAAGAGCAAACCCAACTGAATTCTTGAACATCATCACTTCTTGTGTGCCCACATGGCTCGAGGATGGCTTGAACAGTTACAACAACAACAACCCACATGTCTCTCATCTCCTGGAATAGTTAGCACTTCAACAAGATCCGAAGGGCCGTTTTTCTCTTGAGAAAGGAATCATCCGTTTTCGTGACAGGATTTGGCTGGGAGGAAGCACACAGATACAACAGCGCATCATTTGTGCTTTCCACGACAGCCCAATGGGGGGGCACTCTAGATTCCTGGTGACTTATCGTCGCATCAGGCGCTTGTTTGCGTGGCCAAATATGAAGATGCATATCCTCCAATATGTGCGCTGCTGTCAAATCTGTCAACAGGCCAAACCAGACCGGGCTGCTTCCCCGAGGCTACTCCAACCACTACCTGTGCCCAGTCAGCCATGGGAAATGATCTCTATGGATTTCGTCGACGGCCTCCCGCAGTCCAGCAAGTTCAATTGTCTTCTGGTCATCGTCGACAAACGTACCAAGTTTGCCTACTTTTTGCCTCTTGCTCATCCTTACATGGTAGCATCAGTCGTGCAACTATATCTACACCAAGTCTACAAGATCGACGGGTTGCCGGTAGCTATTGTGTCTGACAGAGACCCAATGTTCACTAGTCACTTTTGGCAAGAACTTTTTAGAGGGGTAGGGAAATAACTGAGATTGAGCACCACAAATCATCCTCAAACGGACAGGCAAACGGAGAGGGTGAATCAGTGTGTCGAAACGTTTCTGAGATGTTTCACACAAGCCTGCCCGCGGCGCTGGAGTTTTTGGATACCATTGGCACAGTTCTGGTACAACAATGCACATCATTCGGCCATCGGAATGACAGCAGAAGGTACATGCTCTGTCACTGGGGGATCACAGCAGAAGGTACATGCTCTGTCCCAACACTTCAATCTTGGCTTGATGAGAGCGCCACTGTTCAAGCCCTTCTTCAGCAACACCTCAATAGGGCACAACAGCTGATGAAATATCAAGCTGACAAGAAGCGTTCCTTCCAGGCTTTCGAAGTGGGTGACAAGGTTTTCCTCAAACTACATCCATACATACAGTCTTCAGTCGCCCCAAGAGCAAATCACAAACTGCCTTACAAGTTCTATGGGCCCTTTCCCATCATTGACAAGATCAACGAAGTGGCATACAAACTCCAACTTCGTCCACAAGCAACAGTCCACCCGGTGTTCCACGTTTCTCTGCTTCGACAAGCTCTCCTCCATGGTACGACTGTTGAACCTCATCTTCCTCACTGTTTGGATGATCAAGCTGTGCCGGAAGCAATTCTACAGACCCGTTGGCGCAAGAACAAAGATGGCGTCCGGGAGCAAGTAAAGATACAATGGTCAGAGAATTCCAACCTGGGCGTCACTTGGGAAGATAAAGCCAGCCTGATGGCCCGGTTTCCGCATGCTGAGGCTTGGGGGCAAGCCTCTTCCCAAGGAGGAGGGGATGTCAGCGCCCCTGACAACCGGGGCCCACAAGGCAGCGTCGTCCGCACCCACCAGGCTTCACCAAGGTTCACTCGACCACGTCGGCCCATCCCAAGAGTCCATGGGCCAGAGTGGACCAACTGAAGACCCAGCAACAGCTACTAAAGGAAGCGTCACCGAGAGGGACAACATCTAGTGGATCAAGGCAATGGCGGCTCGGCTCTTATCACATTCCCCTTTCCTTCCTTGCGACGAACCCTAGCTTGCAATTCCTGTAATCTGTCTCTGTAATCGCCACATATACTGCTATTAATCGAGAGTGCTAGTAGTTCCTATCATGAGAACTACAGGCCAGACTTCACTGACCGAGGTGGCGGAACTCACGCCGAGAGGCCACGAACTGCATCCCGTGCCACCAGACTGCCTCGCGCTAGGTATTGCACCACACAGTGAGTGATCTAGGCCACCATAGCACCGGCGGCGCGCGGTGAGAACAAACATGGAGCAGTCCGTAACAGATCCGGCGACATGTGGAAGGTACAACGCTGGATCCTGGCACCACAGCACCGGCGGTATTGGAGGAGGTGCGCGCGTGGTGGGGGCCTTCCCCTCTACTCACCAATGTGGGCGGGGTGAGTGGTGTTGGGTGGGGGATCCCGCTCATAAGGGCACTGTTGGGCGGCGTGGGAGGCTAGTGGCAACGCCAGGCTAGTAGGATTGGTTCTCCGGCAGCACCGAGACATGTGGATCCGGTGGGAGTGTGATAGAAGGGGGTGGGTCGAGGTGCCCGGGCACGGTGGCACGCGGCGGCCGTCGGTCTTGGCTAGGGGAGTGGCGGAGCTATGGGTTGGGGGAAGGGAGGCGCGCCGTCCAGGATGGAGAGGAGGCACGACGGCCATGGCTAGCCGCAGGCATGGGCTTGCGGGGTGGGGCGACGCAGGGAGGTAGCCGGCGAGGCACGCTGTTGGAGTTGGCCTCGGCCGAGAGGCACGTGGGGGCGGCAGAGGTGAGGCGGCGTCGGGACCTGGTAGGGAAGGTGGGGGTGTGGGGGAAGAAGGTGGAGTGGGTGGGGTAGATAAGGTGCGGGGAGGGGTTGGTTTTTGATTTTGTTTGTCTCGAAGTGTTATCAGAATAAGGTTTAGTGTTATCAGAATCGGGTCTTAAGGGTGTTATCATAATAAACCTACCTATATATACATATATGGTCAAACTTCCCCTTTCTCTTCCCGACAAAGGTTGATCATGTGCCGACCCACAAATGTGTGCTTGTGGCGCGAGATGGGTGAGACCACATAAGAACCACATGTGGGTGGGCTACTATATGTATGAAAAGGGTGTGGTGTGACATTTAACTAACATCCACAAATTTGATGCAGCACATGTGCCTCACAAATTGACCGAACTTCCCCGACACCATGGAGGTTGCAGGAAGTGTGAAGTAGCCACCCCCACACACACATTGGGGGAGGGCATCTCACCAAGGGGTACTGTAACATGGACCAAGTAGAATCCAACTTGGTCATACAACCTCTGTTGCTCGTTGTTGGTCAAACTGATGGACGTCCACACGGCCCTGCAAAATGCACTAGCTTGTCGCCGATAACCTCGTAAGGGAGTATTGTATGAAGACAAACCCACTCTATGAATGTGGCCCAAGTATGTATATGGAACTGGTGTGTGTGGTGTTTGAATACCCAATGCGAAAATTTGATGTGGCACCATGCTTTGGAACCGTAAAATCCCCACACTAAACACGGGCTCACGACACGTAGCATGCGCTGAAACTTAATTAGGCTTGGAATGGTCAACCTACTATACGGTATCTCGAAGCAAAGAAGAAGAACACACCCTGGTAACCTTTCTCGTCATTGGTCGAAATGATGGACGTCCACGCGGGCCCACGAATATATATAGGCTTGCCGAACATAACCAAGCGAGTGATAGTGTGTCCAAAGACAACCATTGCATGCGTGTGTCCCGAACATATTTATGGAGGTGTGTGATGCATGCATATGTGTTGAATACCCGACCCAATGTACAACATTGATGTGGTGCATGTGTTGAAAATCGCAGAGGTCCCCACATAGAGCAAGAGGTCATTCATGACATGTCATGTGCTCGCCCCCCCTTTCGATCCAGCGGGACGGATTCATGTGTACACATGCGCTATTATATATATGTAATCCCACATCTTGATATATATTTCGTGAGACAAAGAAAAAATTAATCCCCTCCTAAGTCAAATTAGTTAACCTCTCTCGCATTCTCGGTGAAAGTGATGGACCAAGCGGGCTGGCAGATGGAAGCATCGCCGACAACCGTGTGAGTGAGTGCCATATATAGCACAACAACCATCGTGATTGCATGTGTACCAGAACGTATATATGGAGAGGTGTGTCGTGATGTTTTGAATACCTGATGCACAACTTTGATGTGGCATTTGCCTCAAAAACCGCAAAGTCCCAACAGAGAGTGAGGTTTATGTGACACCTAGTGTGTGTGTATATATAGAGGGTGGGTCTATAAGGATAACACCCCTTAAGACCTTATTCTGATAACACCTACTCTTATTCTAATAAAACCCTTGAACTGAGCCACCCTTACTGCAGCAAAAAAGCCATCCCCGATCCACATCAACCACCTACCCTACACCTTCTACCACTACCCCGCCCACCTTTCGCCGCACTACTCCGTCCCCGTCCACCTTCCTCTCTGCGCTCGCCACCGCAAGACACCCCACCACCTTCCTCTTTGAAGACGACCACCGCAAGCCAACGTCGCTCCGCCGCCTCCATCTCTGCGTGTGGCCGCGGTAAGCTAGCACCACCCAACCAGCTACTCTCCGCGTCTGGCCGCCGTGAGCTGGTGCTGCCCCACCAGCTTCTTCTCCATGCCCAACCGCCTCAATGTGTGCGACCCAGACCACATCCTCACCGGTCACGGACCCATGGACCCCATGTCGAATCCGAGTTCCTCCCTCCCCTGAGCAACACCGCGCCCACCTGAATCGATGAGGACGAGCTCTCTCCTTCTCGTGGAGGTCTCCGGCCAGGGCCTCATATGCGCCACCCGTGGTGCTTTGGCACTGCCCTACCTCATGCGGCTCGGTTGCGGCCCCCGTGTAGCTCGGCCGCGGCCCCCATCTTCATGCAGGTTCTCCAGCCACCACTTGCCTCTGCTATCCTCCCTCGTCATCAGCCACGATGCTGCAACCACCGACCTCGAGCATCCTCTTCTACCCATCGATTGTTTTTTGCTTTTCAGATTTCACTTGGGCACATCACTGCGATTCTGTTGCGGCATCAGCGCGGTGCGTCTGAATGTCCAGTCCACCGATGATCGTGCTTGCAGTCCGGTGGCACGAGGCTCATGGTCGGATGTGCAGTGTAGTGCTATTCACCCTTCCGTGTTGCAGTTCGCCGGCAGATGTGTTTTTTTAATAAAAGAAGGGCTTCACACCCCTTAGATTTTCATTAACAAAAACCA